GAAGCTAAGGCTTTCAGGTGTGCCATAGGCATTTTGCTATATTTGGCCGTCGACCTGATCGAGTGTCAAGGTGCCATCCGTGCTCTGAGCAGCTCCATGTCCTCACCCACAAAGAATGCTCAGACTGCCCTGAAGCATTTGTTGAAGTATTTGCTGGATGGACAGCACCATGGGCTACTGTTGTGCCGTGATAACGTCCACTGTGGCCGTTCAGGCGAGCTCTCTCCCTCGACCTCGCGAGCCATGTGCATCGAGTCTTACTCCGATGCCGACTGGGCAACGCACAAAGGCAACCGCCGATCTGTGAGTTCGAGCACGGTTTTCGTTTCGGGTTGCTTGCTGTATAGCAGTGCTAGGACCCAAAGGGTGATTGCTCTCAGCAGTGGTGAATCTGAATTGTTGTCAGCCACCTCGTCCTTGTGCGACGCTTTGTTCATCAGGCAACTAGTTGCCTTCCTCGGCGACTGCGACCCTCCACAGGTGCATCACTTCACAGATGCCACTGCAGCTAAGTCCATGATGGAGCGCAGTGGAGTGGGCAGAGTGCGCCACCTTTCGGTGCGCGTACTGTGGACCCAGCAGCTTGTGGCCGACAAGGTCATAGCACTGCATAAGGTTGACACCTGCAGAAACGTGGCAGACCTCAACACTAAGGCTTTGCCAAGGCACAGGATGATGATGCTGCTCAACCTTCTCGGCGGTTGGGACACCCTGCGTGACGAGCCCATCGGGTTGAACGACATTGCCGAGTTTGAGTACAAGCAGGCCATGAAGCAGGCCGTTCGTGCCGTTCGAACCACGACCTCAGGTTCGGTGAACAAACAAGTTCTGAGTTCCCCCAGTGGGCCAACCGAATCCTTGTTTGGGTGTTGGGCCTGTGGGTGCGTGATGACTCAGGTGTGTCGATCATCGACATGCTTGCCCCGCATGCTGCAACCATCCTTTGCATGTGCATTTTGATTCTGTTTGTGGCAATGTGCTTTCGCGTTTGGTGTGCAGGGTCCACTCCCAGGCAGGTGCAGGTACAGGTGTCAGACCAGCGGCAGCATGGTGCCGTTTCTGTGAAGTTTGACCAGAACCTCAATGTGCACGTTGGTGTTGCCGCGCCAGGAACGCCAGCCAATCCTTTGGCTGTGGACTCAGATGACAATACCGTGAGCCCGCCACACATGCTGCATGCGATCCGCAAGGGTGCTAGGTCGAAAGCATCTGCAAGGCCAGGTCCGCGTTGCGATGAGCCAGCGTCTTCCAGTGACGCCCCCGCAAGATTTGTGCCACCTTCTCCAGAACCTTTTGTGCGAGCGCCAAGCGCAGCGCCGCCTACGCCAGAGGGTTCAGTTGGTTCGACGGGATCGTTCAGGGAGGCGCATGGTTACCAGGTTGCAGTTGCCCGCAGGTTGGAGCATCCCCGGGATACAGTGTGGGTCAGCACGTATGGCCGGTGCTACCATCGACTGCGATGCTTCAAGCTTGATGGGTGTGATCGCATCAAGCGAGTTCCTCTTGCAGATGCCGTTGCACGAGGCTACAGACCATGCAAGAAGTGTGCACCTTGAAAAGTGGCTAACCGTGAGACAGTCTTTTGAGAACTTCTTGAGATGTTCATGATGCGATGTGCTCATGG